CCCCCATCCTGCTCTTTCTGAATAAGGTATACCTTTCCAGAGACACATTTCAATCATGGGCATCCTCCTACAAATTATCTGTGATAGTTACAAAGTCAAGTTTGCCACCTGATTTGAAATTTATCTAGTTCACATTGTTAAGTTATACTTTGTACATTTGTGTACAGACATTCAAGGCTACGATTTTACTAGTTTTCTTGGATTTTTGTTTCTTGTGAACATCTGAGTATCTCTACTATTCTTCTTTAAGAGCTACAACTACACTAAATTATCTAGATAGTTTCTCTTGCTAATCTTACTTTTCAGCTTAAAATCCTTTAGATTTGCAAGACTACTGACAAATATAACAATACTATCCCTTGTTAAATACTATCTAACCAGCTGTTCACTTCCCAAATCTTCTGGTCCCTTCTGAAGCCCCTGATCAGCAATAGTGACATCAAAACCACCTCTTTCACTAGCCCCATAAAGTCTGCTCCTCTCCCAAGACTTCACAATCTTTAGCAATGTTTTCTATGTCATTCTGGCAGCATTATTTGTGTCCAAATAAATCACTAGACATGGACAGTGGTTATGCAGAGCAACAAGCCTTAGGACCTTTTCCCTGGGTGGTTCCAGATCCAGCCCTTGGAGGGAGACACCATTTCTCTATTTTTAATCAGGCTGACAAACAACTGCCATTACTTGCCTCGTCTTCCTCTGACCCTTATGGATGATTTCTCCCCTGACATGTGGATCCACATCATTATTCCTTGGAGCACAATGCAGTTTCTTCCTCCTCAGAAGCTTCAGCTCCCTCCTCCATGGGAGAAGAAGCCTCTTTTCTGGTGCTTAGCACCCAAATCTTTTCCCTTCTCATTTGTCACAATCTTCGACCCTCCAACCTCCTGACACAAGTCAGAAATCCTTCCCTTTTGCTTCTTCAAGATCCCTTTTCTTGTTTTCCCACTGATATCACAGGATCAGAAGATTCTGTGACTGTGGGTCCTTTTCTCCATTTTTAAAGAAACACTTCATTTTCTCTGGTGATCTGGAGAGATGGGGCATTCTTCAAGCCTCCTTAGCTTCTCTTCTAAGAGGAAGACAAGCCTGTATAGTTTGATTATACCTTCTCCCACTCAAGCTGAAAGTAAAATCAGGGAACAAGCCTGCTTATATAAAAGCATACCAGTACAGGGCAAGCTTCAGAGATATGCCCCCTTTTTCTACCCCTTGAATGTAATTCTGGATGGACAACAAGCACAGACTCCCATACTCAGCCAAAAATAAAAAGAGAAAGGTGTAGGAGGCCAAGTGTACAGGAGGAAACTCAGCTGGCTACATACTCAAGGGAAGGAGAGAGAAGTCTGTTTATTTCTTGACCACATACCTACATACCTTCCACAATGGAGAAATCCCACTTTCACGTTTTTGATTTAATAGAAAACTGACAGGATTTAAGATTCTAACAAAAAGGTGGGAGCTTCATTTTTCTTAGTGTCTAGTTCTTAAGTTGTTTTCCATCCCACATGGGAGAGTCATGTAGAGAATTAAGTTTATACTGGGAGACAGATTTCAAAACATTTTCACCTTATTCTCTTATATCCACTCTCTCTTGCTTCCTAATTTTAGTACCCTTTCTCTTCTTCCCAAACCATGGTCCACAGAACCCTAGTTCTAGATAAGGAAAATATGGGTTGCATGAGAAAAGCTATCAGCATTTCCACTCCAAAATATCAAATATGCAACTAAACAAGTATCAAAAATAACATGTAGGAATTTTTGAGTAAGCAAACAAGCTTTGTTTCCTCTATTTAGCTCCAAAATGCCTCCAATTACTCCTTTTCCTAGGGTCGTTCCATACTCCTAGATTCCCATTTACAGGTCATCAATATATTTCAAGTCCAGATCAAATTAATCTGGGAAACACTTCTCTATGCTTATCCTGGGATTCTTGGTACAATCAAAAAAGGCACAGAATTTGGAAAGAGAAGCTGTGGTTATGGATTCTAGGTCTGATACTTAACACCTGTGTGATGACAGCCATTTTGGCTCTCCTTTCTAAGCTCCATTTTCTTCAACTTGTAAAAAAATGCAGATTGGACTATGTAATTTCTATGGTCCCTTCTAATTCCTGAACCCAATTCCTATTTGAAACCCCCTCAAATTCTTTTGTCTCTTCCAATCTCTCTACACCCATTTCAACATTTCTAACCTCTACTATCTACTTCCCACCTCATTTCCAACACCCTACCAGTATCTTCCTTCCAGGACCTCCAAGCTAACAATGGTGCTCCGTGCCCTTCCCTTACATGTAAATGTTTCTCCTTCTTTCTGTGAATCACTCTATAATTGAAATCTTTCAATTTTTCTTCATCCTTATAATCCTCCTAACTCTATGTGACCTACTATCTTCCAGAAATGGCTCATCTTCACTCAATACTTTTTTCTCACAGGTGTGCCCTGCGTACTCACAAGGACTAACCAAATTTCATTAAAACTATTTTCATTTCCTTTCTCCCTTTAAATTTACTTTTCTGGCCTCATAAAGGAATGGTTTTTTTTTTAAATCTACTTAAAATTAATTGCCATTATAAAAATTCAATTCAATTTAATAAACATTTACTAATGTTTACTATATGTCAAGGCATTATGCTACCAAAGACTTTAAAATAAAAGTCCTTACCATCAAGCGTCTTTACTAGGAGATAAAACAATACAGATATAAATACAAGGTAGTCTGAAGGAGGAGAGAGCACTAACAACTGAAACATCAGGGGGGAGAGGGGTGCGGAGGAGCCCGCTTCCTGCAAAACATAGTACCTGAAACGAACCACCAAATTAAATAAATAAATAAATAAATAAGTGAATGAATAAAGATTCTGAGTGACAGAGATCAGTAAACAGCACATTCCAGGAGGTGTAAGAGACAAACGCATGGAGGTGGAATATAGAATGTCAAGTTCAGGAAACAGCAAGTATAGTCAAGTTTGGCTGGAATGTAGAATTCTCAAATTCAATTTAATTCAACAAGCACTTATTAAGTGCTCACTCTGTGCAAGACACTGTGTCAGGCTCTAGGAAGACAAAACATAAAAACAGTCCAGTGATTGCCTTTCAAGTACTTCCCTTCTAGCCTAAAACACAGTCAAAGAGGTAGAACATGGAATGCTGAGTTAGGGGAATGTTGAATAAGCCAGTCTGGCTAGAAAGAAGATTATGTGAGGAAGTAATCTGAAATAAGTCTGAAAAGCTCAGCTGGAACCAGAGTATGAAGGTCTTTAAATGTGAAGTTGAGGATTTCCTGACTTACACCTGAAAACAAAAGGTAGCCACTGAAGATTCTTGAAAATGGGAATGACATGGTAAGATCTGTGCCTTAGGAAGATTATTTTGGCAGCTCTATGGGTACTAGGTTAACAAAGACGTCAGAAGCAGGGAGACTGACAGGAGAATATTGCAGCTGATCAAGTGAGAGGTAAAGAGTGCCTGAACCAGGGTGGTAGCTGTGAGAGTAGAGAGAAAATAAAGAGAAAACAGAACAAAACAACTCTAAAGTTTCACCACACACATCAAATTGGTAAATATAGCAAAAAATAGAACAGTCAATACTAGAGGGAGTCGTATAAAGACAAGCACTCCAATACACTATTAACAGAGCTGTGAACTAGTGAACTTGGCCAACTACTCTGGAAAACAATTTAGAGCTTTGCTTAAAAAGTTACTAAAACGTCCATACTTTCTGACCCAGAGATCCTATTACTAGGTATATGCCCCAAGGAGGTCAAAGAAAAAAAGAAAGGTCTGTTCACACTAAAATAATCACAGGAGCAGTTTTTTGTGGTGCCAGAGTACTAGAAACAAATTCAATGATTAAAGAATGGCTAAACAAACTGTGGTACACAATATAATTATTGCACTGTTAAGAAACAATGAATATGAAGAATTAGGAGGATAGGAAGACATACCAACTGATTAAGAGTTAAGTCAATCAACCATTAAGTGGCTACTATGTGCCAGGCACTGTGCTAAGTGGTGGAGATACAAAGAAAAGCAAAGGCAGTCCCAGCTCTTAAGAAGCACCAAGTCTAATGGGGCAGATAACATACAAACTACTATGTACAAACAAAATATACAGAGGATAAATTGAAGACCATCTCAGAAGAAAAGCACCAAAGAGAACTAGGAAGGTCTTCTTGCAGAAGATGAGACTTTAGCTGAGACTCAAAGAAAGCCAGAGAAGCTAAGAGACAAGAGATGATGAGGAAGAACAGTCCAAGAATAGGGCACAGACTCAGGAGATAGAGCATCATTTGCAAGAAACAACAAAGAAGCCAGAGTAGGACAACGAGTTCAGTAGAGTAGTCTGATCAGAAGTCAGTTGCAAGGGGTTGAGAAATAAATGGAAGGTGAAGAGGTTGAGGCAATGAGTATAAAATGGTTTATTCTAGGAATCTGACAATATAAGAGAGAAGAGCTTGAGAAGAGTTGGAAGGACAAAGTAGATTTTATGTTTCTAAAGATGAGGAGACCCAGACATGTTTGCCTGCAATAAGGAAAAAACCAGTAGTAATGAGAATGAAGATGACAGAGATGGGCTGACTATGGCAAGGGCCACCTTTTTGTCAGAACTGGAACTAAGGAGTCGAGACCAGGGGATGAGGAGGAGGGGGGATACTGAGGTGCAGAAACTGAAAGTGGAGAGGGCTTACAACAAATGGACTCATTTTCTCAAGCAGTAATAGGAAATAAGGATTAGATGCTAGCAATTCTTTAACCTGACTCTTCTTCTCTGTAAAGTTCCTTATGAAAAGCACATGGAACCAAAAGTTCCCAATTTTAAGGCATTTTTGAAATTTAGTTCTCCGTTCCCTTTAATTTAATGGCATTAACTACAAAACGTAAGGACTCAAAACAAGTTAGCTTTATGCAATACTTTAAGGTCTGCAAGGTTATGAGAGTAAAAATACAATATTAAATCAAATGAACATTCAAATGAAAAGGGTAATTTCATGCCATACCTGATGAAACGTGTACTTGAATAACAGTGTCAAAAACTCTACCACTGGGAACTGAGAGTAGGATTCTATCCTCCTCAAATGGACACTCACAAAGAGACGAAGAAAATCAGTAAACTTCTCGATGTAGCTAAATAAGAAAAAATATTACAAGGTAAAAATCTCACAGTTTACCTTCAATGGAAATAACTTTAATCAGATAAATGAAATGCAAGATTAAACGGCCCAAATCCTTTACATTACCAAAACACACTGATTTAACCAAGATATTTTCAGTTAAAAACATAAAAGCCTGCATCAGTTACCTACAGGACACGCAACCCTTCTCTCCATTAACACCTGAAACACAGCAGAAAAGTAACTTTAATGCTTAGATAATAAGGCCTTCTGATAAGCAACTGCTCTCACAGTTCCCCAATTACTTAGTGGCATGACCCATATAAAATAAAATGAAAGGAAACTGAGCTAACAAACTGATAGCTAAGTCATATCACTTGTATAATGCATCTCAAGATAACAGCATTACTCTGATTTCCAGAGGGAAAGATTTATTAGTTAGAAGGCATAATTATGAAAGTGTATGTACCAAAAACCACAGAGACAAGCTGATGATCTATCTTCAAAAGGGTTAGCAATGTACTAAAATATTTCTAGTTTTGCAATCCAAATAGATTTTGTTCTTCTACTCCTGAGGACAATCAACTATGCAATGCCCCAATTATCTCCAAGAATTCTTTATAGCAGGAATGAAACATTTTAATACTTAGAAAGATGCAGCAACCTGCCACTATATAGAAGGATGAAGTATTAGAGCCTGAAAATGACCTTAGAGCTCATAAAGTCAGGAATCTGAGGCCCAGAGACAAGAAATTACTGACTTGCCCACCAACTGCAGGAATGAGACGAGGATTCAGATTTCCAGATTTCCCTTACTCTCCAGTTTTCCCTCACTCTCCAGTTCAGCATTTGTTCCACTATATGATACTACCCCAACCCCAACTCAAATCCAAAGATTTTCCTATGATTATTTCATAGATAAGCATGTGCCATAACGACCAGGATAATAAAGTCCTCTGATTAAATGCACACACATCACTCTCACATTCAGAAACTGTCATTTCCAGCCCCTAAATACCAAAAGGTGATGGAAAATGAGATGGATACATATTTTTGAAAATATTAATTAAAGAGATAAAGAATCTTCTGGCCTAGAATCAGGCAAGCCTACTAGTAAAATAAATCCTTCATTGCAGTCACTAGGTACCACTTCACTTCACTCAAGTTCCCTCAGTCCACCTGAAATGACCAGAAATCAAACTTCCCCATATTGTCACAGGCCCCTAACCAACTTGATCATGGTTGGCCATTGCTGACTTCGGGTGCCACATTAATTCTAGAAAACATAGATGGAAATGAGGATTTACAATTTATATGATATTATTTCATAAGGATAAAGGTTGAGTACATCACTGGACCAAATACTTAGGAAGACTAACTTTAAAAGTATTTTATGCTATGATTTTACACCCCTTCCACCAGAATCTCCAGAGGTTCTTTAACAGGTATGGCCCCTCCCTTTTATATGTCAAGTAGAGAGATTTGTCTGAAGGCCGTTGTCCAAATCAATCAAGAATGGAACCTCCTCCACCCTAATCTAGCTTCTTACATATTAAATTTGTATGTGTAAAATGTATCAATTTTCTGTTCTTTGGAAAATACACTCAATTCTCAGTCATGCAAACTAATGGAACACAGAGATTGAATGCATGGACAAATACAATAAAAAACCACTCTGCAGGCCAACTTCTTTATTAAAAAATTAAATAAACCCGATCAAGCAGAAATACTAACTAATCTTCATTCACCTCATTTTCCTTCCCTTGCCCACCTTCTGGTATAGGTGCTAATGAACAGTGAAAGAGTTAAGAGATAAGAAGTTATAGAGAAAAAGAATAGAAGCAAAGGACCCAGTTAAGCAGCTCCTGAACAACTGAGAATTGACTATCATTTTTTTAGAATTTGTTATAACAGACTCTTAAGAGTCATAAAGCAAGCACACAGTATTTTTCATATCACCTGTCTGTACATGCAGGGTTCGCCTTTCAGTGCAACTGGAAGCATATAATTGAAATACAAAATCAAAGGAAGCAAAAAAGTTAACTTTAAAGTTCACATACAGATAAACTACTATGATTTTTCACCCAGATCTAAGCTCAGTCTGTGAAAATGGCATTGTCCTCAGAGTAAAACACAAGGCAATTTATTCTTAATGGTAGGTTTCATAGTAGAAACTCAAAAGACAAAAAGTAATGAACTCAATCAAAGAAAAAAGATATTTTAATTAGAGAATACCATTTCAACTCTCAAATTACAACACAACAGTTAACCTTTTCATTGACTTTGTTATAAGTAATTAGAACACTGTTACACATTAGAAAGTATTTTTAATGAAGCCAAAAAAGAATGATGGAAAAATTGTGTTTTCAAGAAAGCTCTGGTACTCTTAATTGATCCGGTCAGTTGCTACTTAAAACAACATCAAATTAGAGGGAAAGAACTTTATTACTGTAACAGGGTAGGAGTTTTTCCATGAGTATACAAAGTTTAATGTTTGGAATGGATAGACCTGGTATATTCTTATATCAGTTTTATTTCTCTTAATTTAATAAAATTAAGCATATGAAATTAATCAAGAGCCAAATTTTCAAACTAATCTATAAATTACACACTCCATGCACGTGTATTTACACATCATACAGTTAACAACTTCATAAAATTGCTACTGGCACTGAAAAGGACACAAATTTCTCAACTATATGTAATCATCAAAAGTGACCTGGGAAAGTGGTTAAAGTAATAATCATTTTTGCTTCCAGGCAATCTGTAAATGCCTACTAGTTCAATATAATACACCAACTTGGAGGCTTCCAAACACACTCAACGTGAAAGTTCTTAAAATAAGCATCCAATTTCCCTCTTGCCTTTACACAGCAGTGTAGCATCTTGTTCATGAAAGGTGTAAGATACATAACTGACATCCCACTGCAAGGGAAAGAAAGAATTAGACCCTGACTCAAAGTGCTTCCATTTATCCTCAAGTGGATATTTAAGGAGGGGCTGGGGAGGGTTACAGGCAAATAAAGACCAATGGTCTTATTTCTGGGTTCCATTCAAAAGAATGATAAAGAAGCCACAAAGCTTTCCATATAAATGTGTGTATCTTTTGGTGAAAATTCACCAAGTAATATTCATAAAACTAACAATACTTCTATACCCTGCAAAATGTCCTAGTTTCTTTCTTTTATTTACCAAAAAAAAATGCTCAAAACTAAAAGGTAACACCAACTAAAAAGGGGCAGATTATAATTCCTGTACCTCCATGTGCCTCTTCTGATGTTCCTGGCTATGAATGAGGGGCAGTTTCAGTTCTCGAACCACCTTATACCTGTAGTCAAATAAGTAAGGGAAAAAGGAAGAGGAGGAAAGAAGGAGGGGGAGGAATATGGGAAATACAACAAAACCTAGAACCACCACAAAACACTTTCCAAACTCAATCCCTTTCCCCTTAGGCCACCCCAGCCCTTCAAGCTACAGTCAGGCCTGTACTTACCATCACACACCTACCTTTCCACTCTTCTTTTGGAGCTCCAAATTCTGAAATCAAAGAGGATTAAAGACGCTATGCACAAAAGCAATGAACCATAATAACCCTTTCTGAGTACATATTTCTTACTCTGCTATGGTTTCTTTCTCTTACCTTTCATCTAGTTCTTCTAGTCTGCTCTTCACTGTGTGAGCATTATTATCCTTGGTGATTTTCTGCAGAAGGTAAAAAGTCTGCTGGAACATTCGTAGTAAATACTCTTCAAATTCCATAGGCACACAGTTCTTACACATGAGTTCATTGATGCAAGACATGGCCAGAACTCCAAGCCTGCCACGCTCCTGACCAAGGACACAGTTCTGATTGCTGCCATTGACTGATGCCATCTTTCTGGCCCGAACGTCACAGCCAAATCGAGCAAAGTGGAATATCGTGGTAAGGAGGGATGGGGTGATGCTGGTAGACAGAGGAATCCAGCTGAAGAGATGGGCCAGGCACTCCAAAGCCAGGGAACAGATATACTCACTCTCTGAATCAAGGATAGGGATTGGCTGGTTTAACAGTTTGGCTGCACTAGGACTCTGCAACAAGTTACTTAATAGATCACCTGAAAATACAGGGAAAAAAAAATTGAAAGACTCTACCCAAATCACCTTTACTGAGTAAGAAACATTTCAATACTCTAAGTAATTCTCAATCAGCTTCTAAAATTACTACATATGCCAGGTTGTTTTTTTTTCCCCTGAGAATTTGAATCAATATTTAAAATCAATTGAGTTCCACTTCCGGGAACCAAGATGGCGGAGTAAAAAGGTAGTCGCTCTCACCCTCCCCTATCAACTTCTGAAAACCCAGAAAATATCACCCCAGAATAAAAAACCCTGGAACGCTGAACTAGAAGAAAGACGGGGAGCAGCAGTGCAGCAGCCCAGCAAACAGGTCTCCCAGTGCCTCAGCGAAAATAAGGGAAGCAGCACTACAAAGGGCCCCAGGTGGATAAGCACCCTGAGGCATTCATCTGAAAGGAGCTGAAGAAAGCAACCTAGAGTCTTCCTAAAGTCCCAGCCTTGCTGATTCCAACCCAACACCAGGTAAGCTATCAGAACACTACAGCCTCCAACTGTCAACCAGGACAAGCTCCTGAAGCCCAGGTGGTAGAACAGGCAAACACTAACACCTGGACCTCCAAGTGCCTTGGTGAGGGCAGGGTAACCAGTGGAAACCAGCTCAGAAAACCACCAGGTGCCTCAGCACTCTACCACAAAGGAATCTCCCAGTGCATTGGCAGAAACAAGGGAGACAGCAGTGCAAGGGGCCCCAGGCAGATAAACACCCTGCAGCACCCATCTAAAAGAAGCGGAAGAAAGCTACAGGAAAGGAAAAGCAGGCAACCTAGAATTGCCTGAAACTTCTAGCCTTGCTGATTCCAGCCCAACACGAGGTAAGCTGCCAAAACCCTAAAGCCTCCAATTACCAATAGAAGAGGCCCCAGCACACAAAGCCAGGGACCAAGACCTAGGCTCCCAACACAAGAAGCGTGGGTCAGTGCCCTCTGTTCCCCAGCAGGAGAGCTCAATCTCTTTAAAGGCCAGGAAATAAAGAAACCATGAGTAAAAAGAAATGTACCATAGATTCACATCACGAGAACAGTGAAGATCAAGACAGAAATTCTGAAGAGGACAACGTTGTCAACAAACCCACATCTGCAACATCAAAAGGGAATATGAACTGGTCTGAAGCCCAAAAAGCCTTCTCAGAAGAGCTCAAGAAGAATTCTAAAAGTCTAATAGAGAGATAGAAAAGTCCTTAAAAAATACAATTGGCCAACTGGAAAAAAAGTACACTGAAGAAAACAAAACCCTTAAAAATACAATTGGCCAATTGGAGAAGGAAGTACAAAAAGTAACAGAAGAAAACAATCTGTTAAAAACTAGAATTGGACAAATGGAAACTAATGATTATATGAGAGAGCAAGAATCAGTCAAACAGAAACAAAAAAGCGAAAAAAATAGATGAAAACATAAAATACCTCATCGGTCAAACAACCGACCTGGAAAATCGAATGAGGAGAGACAATTTAAAAATCATTGGACTACCTGAAAATCATGATGAAAAAAAAAGCCTGGACAGTTATCTTTCAGGAAATCATAAAGGAAAACTGCCCAGAAGTCCTAGAATAAGAAGGTAAAATAACCACATAAAGAATACACCGCTCACCACTTGAAAGAGATCCCAAATTGACAATGCCAAGGAATATAATAGCAAAATTCCAAAATTACCAGATGAAAGAGAAGGTGCTGCAAGCAGCCAGAAAGAAACAATTTAAATATCATGGAACCACAGTCAGGATTACATAGGACCTTGCAGCTTCTATGTTAAAATTAAGACCGCAGGGCATGGAACATGATATTCCATAAGGCAAAGGAGCTTGGATTGCAGCCAAGGATCAACTACACTGCAAAAATGAGCATGACTTTTCAAGGGAAGAGATGGATATTCAACAAAATAGGGGACTTCCAAATCTTCCTGATAAAAAGACCAGAGCTCAACAAAAACTTTGATCTTCAAGTACAAGATTCAAGAAAGACATAAAAAGGTAAATGGGACAGAAAGATACAAAATATTGTTAATAAGGGTGGACTGTTTACATCCCTACAAGGGAAGATGACACCTGCAACTCTTGAGAGCTATATTGTTATTACACCATGTTAAAGGAGTGTACATAAAGGGGGTGGATATTAGTTGACTCTGGTGTAATGATAAAAAAAAAAATCTAATCAAGTGGGTTAAATGGATCCAAGTAAGTGGATTAGTCTGATCTTAGAAAATGTACTGAGAAAGGAGGAGGCAGAGAAGGGTAAATTACATTACAGGAAAAGACAGAAAATCCTATCACAGCAGAGGGAAAGAAGGGAGAGGGGTGAGCATTGTTCAAACCTTACTCTCATCAGATCTGGCTCAAGAAGGGAATAACATAATCAGGTATAGAAATCTAACTTGCCCTATAGGCAGTGGGAGGTAAAAGGGGAAAGAAAAGGGAGGGTGAATACAAGGGAGGAAAGAAGCAGTAAAGGCAAAGGGGAAGAAAAGGGAAAAGGAAAACAGAAGGGAGGAGAGACTGAAGGAGACAGTGGTCAAAAGTAAAACACTAGTAAGGGGGGGAAAGGAGAAAGAAAAGCATAAACAGGGGTGAAAAAGGATGAAGAAAAAGACACAGATAGTAATCATAACTGTGAAAGTTGAATCACAATCTTTTTTTCTCTTCTGTTGCATTTTGTTTCTTCTTTCTGATGTCTCCTCTTATTGGTATTAATTTTTACTTACAACTTCACTAATGTGAAAATATGTTTAATAGGAATGTAAATGTATAGCTGATATCAGATTGTGCACCGTCTTGGGAAGGGTGGTGGGGAGGAAGGGGGAGAAAAATTTTAAACTCAAAAACATATGGAAGTGATTGTTGATAAATCAAAATAAATTAATAAAATTTTTAAAAAAAGAAAAAATCAATTAAGATTAGTGTTAAACATCAAATTTCAAGAAGTTACGAGTCTAACAATCTAAGAAAGCTAATTATGATTTTTCCTCAAAATAATTTTCAGGTCTTTATGTTTATAACAAATCATTTAATTCTCCTCCTCTCCTACCTTTCCAAATTTATGTCACACATATGCTAGCCAATTTAGAATCTTTGAGCCAATCTGGCCATTGTTTCCCATATACACCTAAACTGTCATCACTCCTATACTTCTGCCTATGCAGTATGCACAGAATGCTTACCCCCCCATATCTCCTGTGGCCGAACCCTTAGGCATTCTTCTAAACGAAGCTCAAAGCAATCTACATAAAATCTCTCCCAATATGCCAAAGGGAACGTTCCTTCTCTGGATTTCAAATATTTAATTTGGGACCTCTCTAAGTATGCACTGATGCTCATGTTTTATATTATGCATGTACATGTGTCCTCTCTCCACCCTTCCCACCCCCACCCCTACCCCCACCACATGCCCTAAAGGCACTGTCACATTGCAGGCAGAGTGCTAAACTCTGAACCAGAAGACACCTCAGGTCTTCATCCTACCCCACCCACTTTTTGTACAGGAGACCCTGGCCAAGCCACTTAACCTTTCAGAGTCTCGGTTTCCTTATCCTATAAAATGAAAATAACAACATTTACACTACCTACACCTCAGAGAATGGTTATGAACACAGTTCTCTGAAAACCTTTAAACAATAGATAATTTCAAAAGCACTATAAAATGTGAGTCATTATTACTAGCTTTTGTGCTCCAGAAGGAAAGGAACTGTGATACTGATTTTTATCAGTAGTAGGACCGTGCATGACTTTTTTCCCTATCATCCCATCTCGCTTTTCTGGTAGAAAATTGTGCCACTTCCATCTCCATGCATAGTCTTCTCCATTCTTCTCATCTTTTTTCTTTTTTTTTTTTTTTAAACTTCAGTGTCATTGCTATTCCTTCCTGAAGCACACTGGGGATGTGAAGGAACCCAGTTTTCTCACTGACAGAGAAAAGGGTTTCTTATATAAACTATCCCCTTTCTCATCTGAATGTGGTCTTCCTTCCAGTCTTATAACATCTGCATGGGACCTCAGGCCACTTTCTGCAAACATAATATCCTGTACTTTACTCTACTCTCCCCCATAACCTTCATATCTTAAACTACTGTCACTCTTGGCTGCCACCTGTCTTCATTTAACTAAGAGATTATGAATTTAGGGGCTAAGAATTGTGCATTGTGGCAACTACTCTACGCTATTCAAACTTCCATGGCAAATGTTCTCATATGACCATTTCTAATAGAACTTTCACTAATGTAAAGCAAAAGGAAAACTGAAACCACTTCTTCCAGCAAACACTTGCTCTCCTTACCAAATAGACACATTGCAACCAAGGCCAACCCAGGTTTAGAATACAAATTTATTCACAAAATGTTGTGAAAAGGAGTAGTGGAAGATTATTTGCACTATTACTTCAAAACAGCAAAAAGTGGTAGAGGGGGAAAATTATTCTGTTTAAAATAAAGAAGGGGGGGGTGGCGGAGCCAAGATGGTGGAGTGAAAGCAGTGACTTGCTGAGCTCTCCCCTAAATCCTTCCAAATACCCGTAAAAAAAAATGGCTCTAAACAAATTCTAAAGCAGCAGAACCCACAAAAAGACAGAGTAAAACAAACTTCCAGCCCAAGACAACCTGGATGGTTGATCAGAAAGGTATACCGCACCGGGCAGGGAGAATAGCACAGTGTGGAATGAGCGTGCAGGCCACAACGAACCTGAAGGACTGAATCACAGGCAGCTGTAGCGATTTCCAGACTTCTCAACCCATAAACGCCAAAGACAACCTACAAGGTCAGTGCAAAAAGTCTGTTTCTGCAGTGGTGAGAGAGGAGCTCCATTCCCTGAGCTAACTGGCCCCAAGCAGGCGGCTGCCTCCTGACTTCTAGCCCACAGATTGAGGGGGAAGCAAGTGGCTGATCAGAGGTGGATTGCAGGGATCTCTTTGCCAGTGCTGAGGCAGGAATCTCTTGCTTTGCCCATGCCTGGATCTGGGTCACAGTTCTGGGCGGCGGTCCTTGGGCAAGAAGGA